TTGATGATTGCTGATTGCTGATTGCTGATTGATGATTGCTGATTGCTGATTGCTGATTGCTGATTGCTGATTGCTGATTGCTGATTGCTGATTGATGATTGCTGATTGCTGATTGCTGATTGCTGATTGATGATTGGTGATTGGTGATTGCTGATTGCTGATTGCTGATTGCTGATTGCTGATTGATGATTGCTGATTGATGATTGCTGATTGCTGATTGCTGATTGATGATTGCTGATTGCTGATTGATGATTGATGATTGCTGATTGCTGATTGCTGATTGCTGATTGATGATTGCTGATTGCTGATTGATGATTGATGATTGCTGATTGCTGATTGCTGATTGCTGATTGCTGATTGCTGATTGATGATTGATGATTGCTGATTGCTGATTGCTGATTGATGATTGCTGATTGCTGATTGATGATTGCTGGTTGGTGATTGCTGATTGATGATTGCTGATTGATGATTGCTGATTGATGATTGCTGATTGATGATTGCTGATTGATGATTGCTGATTGATGGTTGCTGATTGCTGATTGCTGATTGATGATTGCTGATTGATGATTGCTGATTGATGATTGCTGATTGCTGATTGCTGATTGATGATTGCTGATTGCTGATTGATGATTGCTGATTGCTGATTGATGATTGATGATTGCTGATTGCTGATTGCTGATTGATGATTGGTGATTGGTGATTGCTGATTGATGATTGCTGATTGCTGATTGATGATTGATGATTGCTGATTGCTGATTGCTGATTGCTGATTGCTGATTGATGATTGCTGATTGCTGATTGATGATTGATGATTGCTGATTGCTGATTGCTGATTGCTGATTGCTGATTGCTGATTGCTGATTGCTGATTGATGATTGATGATTGCTGATTGATGATTGCTGATTGCTGATTGATGATTGCTGATTGCTGATTGGTGATTGCTGATTGCTGATTGATGATTGCTGATTGCTGATTGCTGATTGATGATTGCTGATTGATGATTGCTGATTGATGATTGCTGATTGATGATTGCTGATTGATGATTGCTGATTGATGATTGCTGATTGATGATTGCTGATTGATGATTGCTGATTGATGATTGCTGATTGATGATTGCTGATTGATGGTTGCTGATTGCTGATTGATGATTGCTGATTGCTGATTGCTGATTGATGATTGCTGATTGCTGATTGATGATTGGTGATTGCTGATTGCTGATTGCTGATTGATGATATGCTGATTGCTGATTGGAGGATTGCTGATTGATGATTGCTGATTTGCTGATTGATGATTAGCTGATTGCTGATTATGATTGCCTGATTGCTGATTAGCTGGATTGATGATTGCTGGATTGCTGAATTGATGATTGCCTGATTGTGATTGCTGGTTGCTGATTGAAAATGATTGCTGATGATGAATCTGCCTGGATTGCTGATTGTTATTGCTGATTGATGATTGCTGATTGCTGATTGATGGATTGGCGATTGATGATTGCTGAGTTGCTGATTGATGATATGCTGATTGATTATTGCTGAATTGCTTGATTGATGATTGCTGATTGCTGATTGATGATTGCTGATTGCTGATTGCTGATTGATGATTGCTGATTGATGATTGCTGATTGCTGATTGCTGATTGATGATTGCTGATTGATGATTGCTGATTGCTGATTGCTGATTGATGATTGCTGATTGATGATTGCTGATTGCTGATTGCTGATTGCTGATTGATGATTGCTGATTGCTGATTGATGATTGCTGATTGATGATTGCTGATTGATGATTGATGATTGCTGATTGATGATTGCTGATTGCTGATTGATGATTGATGATTGATGATTGATGATTGATGATTGATTGCTTTGCCTTGCAGCTTTTCCTAATAGTGTACCGTAAAATGTTGTGGGCATCACTTTGAATGTCGCTTGTGCTTGATTTACTCGAACATATTTTTAGGCTGCGTTGCATCATCGTATCTGTTCCGCACTAATGAACTAATGACATCTTGAGCTCATCGAAACAGACCACCAGGCCCTGTGCTGTCCGAATGTTTCAATGTACTGTACGACCATACGTACCTGTTTCACCCACTGGAAATGCGGTCTAGATGTGTGAGCACCAACGGCTCCTACCCTATCCAATTGTCTATTTCGGCTACAGCATTTGCAATTCAATCTTTTTGGGGCAACGATGGGAAGCCGTATGCCGCACTCAGCAGTTTGACCCATTGGTTTTGCAAACAAGTCTGCCCTTGGACCTTTCACACAACGTGGGAATATGTGGGAATCTTGGGACATGTTTTTTCCTCCTCTCGGTGCTTCCAACAATGGATGGAGCTAGCAGATGGTAGCAGATGGTAGCAGCTAAGACATTGTGCACCTCACGCGAGTCATGTCGTTGGCATTGTTGGAAGCCATTGGGGCCAAGTCGTCCGAGGGCACCTTCCAGAACTGGAAGGCGATGGACAGAGGTTGGCAGGTGGAAAAATGCGCGCATGCTGCATGCTTCCACTTGCCAGGTCCAAAGTCACCCTGATCAACATGATTGGATATGACTGGTGTCCACACTGGCCTTATGATGTCTTATGCCATTTGCCTCTCACATCTCTGTTTTAGATGATGTTGGCCTCAGTATTTCGGCTCAACATTGCCGACCCCGCTGCTGGCGCTGGTGGTGGGCATGGCAAACTGCAAGTGCACGTGATGCAGTTTGAAGCTCAAGAGATTGAACAGATGAAAGCGCTGGAAGGTTTTCAATATCAGGATGTCAGGATGTTTCC